TAGTCCCTTTTTGGACCCAGACCAACCATTTCAACGCAGGGCTTCTGGCACCAAACAAATGAAGTTCCATGCAGGTAAAAAAGGTCTTACCCTCCATCTCTCCTTGTCAATTGCTGAACCTCTCTTGGCACTCTATGCGCACATGAAGTTTTCTGCGCTGGCACCTTTTGTCTGGGGGAATCTTCATCCTTAGTCCCTTTCACAACTCAGAACAGCCATTTCAGCATGCACCTTCTGACACCAAACAAATGAATTTCCAAACTGGAAAAAAAAGCCTTACCCTCCATCTCTCCTGGGCAATTCGTGAGCCCCTCTTGGAACTCTGTGCACACTTGGAGCTTCCTGTGCCGGAACCTTTGGACTCAGAGGAATCTTCATCTTTTGTCCCTTTTTGGACTCAAAGAAGCCATTTCAGCACGGAGCATCTGACACCAAACAAATGAAGTTCCAGCCAGGGAAAAAAGGTCTTACCCTCTACCTCTCCTTTGCAATTGGTTAGCCAGTCTTGACGCTCCGTACACACATGGAGATTCCTGTACTGACTCCTTTTGTCTGGGAGGAATCGTCATCCTTTGAATACTCAGACGGGCCATTTCAACACAGGGCTTCTGACACCAAACAAATGAAGTTCCAGGCAGGAAAAAAAACTCTTACCCTCCATCTCTCCTCTCCAATTGCTGAACCTCTCTTGGCACTCCATGGGCACATGTAGCTTTCTGTGCCGGTTCCTTGTCTGGGAGGAATTTTATCTTTTATCCCTTTTGGGAGTCAGACAAGCCATTTCAGTGAGGGGCTTCTGACACGAAACAAATGAAGTTCCAGCCAGAAAGAAAAAGCCTTCACCCCCCATTTCTCCTGTGCAATTGCTAAGCCACTCTTGACACTCCATGCACTGATGGAACTTCCTGTGCTGGCACCTTTTGTCTTGGAGGAATCTTTGACGGTATCTCATCTTGGGACTCACTGACCGTTTCCACGAAGCAGTTCTGACAGCAAACAAATGCATTTTCATCCAGATAAGAAAGCGCTTACTCTCCATCTCTCCTGTGGAATTGGTGAGTCACTCCTTGCACTTGACACACTCTTAGAGCTTCCTGTGGTGACACCTTTTGTCTAGGAGGAATCTTCATTCTTAATCCATTTTAGGACTCAGAGTGACCATTCCAACGCAGGGGTTCTGACACCAAAAAAATAAAGTTCCACCCAGGAAAGGAAGCCCTTACCCTCGATATCTCCTGTTCAAATGGTGACTCGCTTTTGGTACTCCATTGGAGGCACAGAGTTCCCTGTGCGGGTTCTTTTTTTTTTGGAAGGTATATTCATTCTTTTTATTTCGGGACTGAGAATTCCAGCACAGTCGTTCTGACCGCAAACAAATGCATTTCCACTCAGAAACAAAAGGGCTTACTCCCCATCTCTCCTTTGCAATTGCTGAGCCACTCCTGGCAGTCCATGCACACATAGAGCTTCCTCTGCTTGCACCTTTTGTCTGGGAGGAATCCTTGTCCGTATCTCATTTTGGGACTCAGACTGTCATTTTCAGCGCAACAGTTCTGACACCAAACAAATGAAGTTCCACTCAGGAATGAAAGCCCTTACCCTCCATCTCTCCTGTACAATTGGTGAGCCACTCTTTGCACTCCTTTCACATTTAGAGCTTCATGTGCTATCACCTTCTGGCAGGGAGCAATCTTTGTCCATATCTCATTTTAGTGCTCAGATTGACCATTTCAGCGCAGGAGTTCTGACACTAATCAAATGAAATTCCACCCTGGAAAAGAAGCCTTTACAATCCATCTCTTCTGTGCAACTGGTGAGCCACTCTTGACACTCCATGCACACATAGAGCTTCATGTGCTGCCACTTTAGTCTGGGAAAAATATTTGTCCGTATCTCATTTTGGTACTCAGACTGACCATTTCAGCACATTGGTTCTGACACAAAACAAAAGAAATTTCACCCAGGGAAGATAGCCTTTACCCTCTATCTCTCCTGTGCAATTGTTGAGCCACTCTTGGCACTACATGCAGACCTAGAGCTTCCTGTGCTGGCACCTTTTGTCTGGGAGGAATCTTTATTATTATGCCATTTTGGGACTCTGATTGTCCATTCCAGCACAGGGGTTCAGACACCAAACAAATGAAGTTCCAACCAGGAAATAAAGCCCTTACCCTCCATCTCTCTGGTGCAATTGGTGAGCCACTCTTGGCACTCCATGGACACACAGAGTTTCATGTTCTGGCACATTTTGTCTGCAAGAAATCATCTTTCTTATGTGATTTTTGGACTAAGACTAACCATTTTAGTGCATGGGTTCTGAGACCAAACAAAGGAAATTCCTCCCTGGAAAGAAAACCCTTACCCTCCGTCTTGTACAATTGGTGAGCTGCTCTTGGCACTCCTGACGCCCAAAAAGGCAGATAAAAACTGTTTAAAGACAGAATTTTATGCCTTATAAACAGCAAGGTATTTATTTATTTATTTAACGGCCCAGCAGCCTGCCAGCTTGTGCTGGGAAAACAGGTTCCGAGCTGGTTAGGTTAGAATGAGTATTTTATACAGGTTTGGCAATGATTACAAGATAACCACATACATATTCATATTATTGCATCATTAGATTACAATATTCATAGCAGGTGGAGTCAGGGTGGAGATTGAGATGTGGTCTCTATTTTGAGGAATATTTTGGTGGTAGATCCTGCCTTTCTTCCTCATGGGGTCTCAAATTCTCTCCTCTTCATCGGGTGACACCAACGACCTTTCGTTCTTTCCATTGTTTCGTGTTCTGTTCATTCAAGCTTGAAGAAACCCTTGGCTTCAGGCCTACTTCACCTATTCAAATGTCTACCTTGGCTCCTTTGGCTAAGATTTATTACCTCTGGGCTCTTTGTACAATGTACCTGTCGGTTATGTCTACAGAATTTGTACAGAACAAAATCTCCTTAGAGTAAGGCAGAGAAAAGGGGGGGGAGAAGAGTGGGTCCCTGCAGCAAGATGCCTCGACCAACCCCTCCAAAGCCCTGTCCTCCTTCATTCCATGCGCACATGGAGCTTCCTGTGCCGGCGCCTTTTGTCTGGGAGGAATCTTCATTTTTATGGCATTTTGGGACTCTGAGCATTTCAGTGCAGGGGTTCTGACACCAAACAAATGAAGTTTCACTCAGGAAAGAAAGCCCTTACCCTCCATCTCTCCTGTGCAGTTGGTGAGCCCCTCCTGGCACTCCATGCACACATAGAACTTCCTGGTCTGCCACCTTTTGTCAGGAAGGAATATTTGTCTGTATCTCATTTTGGGGCTCAGACTGACCATTTCAGCGCAGCAGTTCTGACACCAAACAAATGAAGTTCCAGACAGGAAAAAAAAGCCTTACCCTCCATCTCTCCTGTGCAATTCGTGAGTCACCCTTGGCACCTCCACGCACACATGGATCTTCCTGTGCTGGTTCCTTTTGTCTGGGAGGAATCTTCATTCTTGTTCCATTTTGGGACTCAGGCTGACTGTTTAAGTGCAGTGGTTTTTGCACCAAACTAATTCTATTTTACCAATGATAGAAAGCCCATACCCTCCTTTCTGTGCAATTGGTGAGCCACTCTTGGCACTCTATACACATATAGACCTTCCTGTGCTGGCACTTTTTTTTTTGGTAGAATCCTAATTTTTATTCCACTTGAGGTTTAGGCTGACCATTCAATTGCAGGGGTTCTGACACTGAAAAAATGCAGTTTTACCCAGATTAGAAAACTCTTTCCCTCCATCTCTTCTGTGCAACTGGTGAGCCACTTGTGGCGCTCCATGCACATAGAACTTTCTGTGCTGGCTGCTTTTGTCTGTGAGGAATTTTCATTCTTATTCCATTTTGGGACTAAAACTGACCGTTCAGTCGCAGGGGTTTTGACACCAAACTGTGAGAAACAGAATCTCAAGATATAAATTATTTTCAAATTGGAATTTATTATATGATATTTATTATATGTAGAAGTAAACAGCGCTAGGTGTACTTACAGGAAATTCTCCTGAATCTACCACACCTGTCACAGGGTACAAGCCTCGTTTTTATTTCAAACATCCCATACATATTCATGATATCACATGCATATACATTTACATCCCTACTCTATGTTTTCACTATATGTTTATTTTCACAGCTTAAACTATTTGGTTATCTCAAAATATTTTAAGTTTTAAATTCATATGTCCTTCAAAATAAGGCACCATCATGCTATTTGACCTGATCTCGTTCGGACATAATTCTTGGCTAGGAGGACAGGGAAGATGATGGTCTGTTTTATGTCTTTATGGGGGTGCAATTAAGTTTTACAATCCGTTTGTTTCCCTTCCCTCCTGGGTTGCATTCACCCATTTGACAGGAATTATAACCTCTATTTATTACACTTGTCACCTGGGAGAAGAGGTTGACCCTCACCTGGCTACAACCTCCTTTCAGGCAGTTGAAGAGACTGATCATAGCACTCCTGAGCCTCCTTTTCTCCAGGCTGAACACCCAGAGCTCCCCCAGCCACTGTTCATCAGACTTCTGCTCTAGCTCCTTCCCCACCTCTGTTGCCTTCCTAAATTGAGGGGCCCAGAACTGGACACAGTACTTGAGTACTATGGCCTCACCAGTGCTATAGTAGAGAGTATAGAGGAAATAATCACTTCCCCGGTCCTGCTAGCCACATTATCCCTGATACAGGCCGGGATGCCATTGGCCTTCTGGCCCACTTGGGCACATTGCTGGCTCCTATTCAGCTGGCTATTTCATAACTGACCAAAAGCCCAGAGAGAAGGAACACAGCAGTGACAGCAGCTGGAGTCAGTTGACCAGTAACTGGGGGTCTGGGCAGCAGGCCCCCTGTCACAAGTCCCTGCCATAGACACGCTAATCCCACATGGTACAGCTGGGGACTGGGCTGAGTCTCTCCTGCTCCAGCTCTGGTAACCTGGCAGCAATAGAATGGTGGGCAGCATCCCAGAGAAGTTTAGCTATAAGGCTGGAATCTGGGTAAATTGTAATTATATCTCATGTTGAGTTATTATTTTCACTTATTTACAGGATTATTATCTGTTTTTACAGTGAAAGTATGTTCATCCCAGGATAATGAGGCTAGTAGGAGGACAGGACCATCAGATTAAAGATCACAGGACATGTCCCTCCAGCAGTGAGTGTACTGGGTATGGTAAAGTCAACAAGCTCAGTGGATGGTCATATATGGCTTTGTCCTTTTCTCTGTCTACAAGTCTCTCTGGGTTTCTTTTTTGTTCAGTGTCTCCGGAAATTTCCCCTACTTCCTTCTAGTGGAAGATGGAAGACTTTGTCTACAGCAGAAGCTGTATTCTAGACTGGATTCTGCCCACAGCCTGTCCGTCCTCTGTGCACTTACCTCTATGGCAGCAGAGCTTAGGAGGAACTGGGTAGGATGGGTTAAGCAGGGATGTGGAGTCTGAACTTAACCAGCCAGAAGGCCAGAGAGGATTCAATAGACAAGGTTTTTGATACTGCGTTCCAACATGCAGAAATTCTTCTGCAGGTCAGAAGCCCAGTATGCATCTAACAGTACTTGGGAATCCTGGATAGTTCAACATCAGCAACAATGACAGAGATGCTCCAGCTTTGGACTGATCTTGTAAACCATGTTAATACTGTATTGCTGCCTTCTGTCCCAAATTCCACCCCATCCAAACAGACGGGGCAGCTTCCAGCCCCATCCCACTCTCCTGATGAGCAGGTGCTGTTGGCACCTGCCCTGCAATAGGCAGGAAGAGGCATTGAAATGTTTGCACAGCACATTATTCAAATAGCTTTTCTGAAGAGAAGGTGGTCAGGCAGAGGGGGCCTGGAAGTTGCCATTTGAACCGTGCTAGTCCAAGCCTTGTATCTGACACAAAACGAGAAGGAGAATGACAGTAGTCACGAGGGAGTACTGTGTTATCTTATTGCCTGCCCCAGAGCACTGTGGTGTTTGCAGCCCTTCAAGGGACTCAACATATTCACTCCCCAGCCATTCTGTGTACGTCCTCTTCTCTTGTAATGGCACAATCTCAACAGCAGAATCCTTAAAGATCAAGTTTTTTCCTTGAAAAGTTGAAGAATCAAACATTTTGAATCCATTTCCATTGCTGCTATTTCCAAAATAGACCTGAAAATAATGCAAAAGTTTCAGTATTTTGCAAGATTAAGTGCCACATTCCTCCTGTTCAACACGAAAGCCAGTATGAACTGGTTTGTAGATGAAAAATTCATACACACTTGCAGAATCTCTTATGCGTTTGCTTTTAGATCCTCCAGTATATTAGATACAGAATTCAGCCACAAGCAATTACAGGAACAGCATTTGTGATTCTGGTTTTTTAGTTACTCTCTGGAAAGAGCTATAGTTTTAAAAAAAATTCTTCTGCCTAAATGTTGTTCCGTAATGCAGGGTTTGTCTGCCCAGGAGTTACAGAAATTACTGAATGCTAGCATGGAGATGTTCAAAAGCAATACTGAGTAAGTTCAGTATGGAGAGGAACCTCTCTGAAGCAGCCAGACCAATGGTTCACCCTGTACATGGCTGCAGCATAAATATACCCAGTAGTGTTCTGTTGCACTCCTAGGAAAATTCCAGAATGGAAAAGCATTAGCATATACTCTATTCCTCGTAGACCTCAAAGTCATGCAGAAACATGGAAAAGACATGGGAAAACAACTTAAGCTCCAGGAAAATTACTACTACAATCAGTGGCTGGGCAAAAAGTTGAAATCCCTTGTGCACCAGGGTGGTTTTACTGGGAGAATGACATAGGTTGTATTTTACCTTCTCTGTCACGCTCCCAACAACAGGGCTCTGCACAGTGCCATGATATAGCAGAATGGTCCTGTTGTCTTTATCCTTGAACTGTGTTAGGCCACATAAAACTCCCCCCTGAAATAAATGGATTATTACTACCTGAGCTTTGTCCAGTAGTCCATATAGAGCAAAAACATTGATATCTGGGTGAACCATAATGGCTTGAGCTGGCACTTGAGCCAGGTGACAGTCAACAAATTGGGTGACTTCAGCACGGGCACCATTTGGACACAGTAACTGGAAATCACTGGACTTCAAGTTTTGGGCCCAACTATCAGTGTTATTACCTGAAAAAAAGAAACTGGTCATTGTCATTCATCGAATGCTTTAGAGCAAGAGAAAACAATTGAATTATAATAAAGAGCCGTGTAAAAGTAAGTACCATCTGTGTTCTCAAACACTGTCGAGTGCTTCACAAAGGCCACATCCCCAGAGTCCTCTGCCAGACACCTAAAGGAAGTCAAATATATAAATTCAGTTAAAAGCACCTTTATGTGAAACACTTTTTTTATATAACTCATAGGTTTAGAATACAATTTTTCTTACATGCATTCCTGCAAAAAATGTACTGGACCCCAAGGTAATAAGAAGAAACAGAGAAATTAAGCATCTTGAAGGAAGGGAAAAGTAACATCTTTGCAAAGTATTTAAAAAATATTCTGAATCAAGAATTTTAAGAGAGGAATACAGTAGAAAAATTGTATTAAAACCAGTGTGAGATACAACAGAAAAGGCCAGTTATGGATGAGCAAAGACATAGAAGACCTATTATGTGATACTCAGTGCAGCATTTACAGCCCTGTACATCAGAGATCTCCAGTTAATCGAACTGCAGTTTCAAAGGGAACTGTTCCAGAGCTAAGTTCAGTTTCCTCTAATTTTCTGAAGGAGGAACAGCCCAACATGCCAAGGGCACCCTAAAAATCAGCACCCCTCCTGTGAGTGAGGTATCTCATTATAGAGGGTGCCAGGGCAGAGGTGTAGAGCATAGATCTTTACCAGCATTTGTTACTCTGTGACATTCTCTAGTGCACAATGCAACAGGCATCACAGGCTGTTCAGATATTTTTGTGTTAAGCCTGAAATATGAAGTCAACAGACAGGAGAAATGCACAGCACTTGCTCCATTCAGCAAGAAATACATAAATAACATCACCCTCAAAGCAGTGAGCTGGGGTGAACTAGCAAAAAAGATCTATCCTCCCAGGTATGGGCAGATGATCTATGGGTAACAGTTCAATGATGGTACCTTGCAGTTTATTCTACAAATGTTTTCCAAAAGTACTTCATAAAACAAGATAATTAAACACACCAATCAAATAATGTAAAGCTGTAACTCAGCAGGTGTTGTTAAAAGCATTTCCCCCTCAGAAAAAGCTGTTCCTGACAGACTTTTCACTACTCTGCACAGTTTAATTTGCCCCAGGTAGTGGGATATACACAAACTGAATGCCTTCTCATACCTTTAGTCAAGTTAGTCTGAAGACAGCCAGAGTTGAAGAAAATCTGGAGGTGAATTCTAAGCTCATCTTAATTACCTGCATAACTCAGTCTTCTTTCAGAGAGGATCACCTAAGTGTCAGAGGCAAACCCACCCCTACCTTGTAGAAGACTGTGATCCTCCATTTTTTCACCCAAATCCTAACCTTTTATATACCTAAAACTTTCCACATCATTCAATGAATCTCTATTAAAAAAGTGATCTCCATATGAAGTTTGACTGTATGGGCACTATTATCAAAGGCACAAGCTCAGAATATGAACAAGGCGCATAGAGCCTGCAATGGCATTTGTTGCTCATTCATCTGGTGACTGGGAGCTGGTTCTGTTATTCCACAAAGTATAGCAGAGGATTTGGAGTTTGCCTGCAAGGCATGTACCACAGCAGAAGAGTTGGACACAACTAAATAGGTTTGCAAAAAGTAGTTATCTAAGTCTAGCACTTTACTATTTACCAGGTAGCTGTGTGGGTGCTGTGTACACAGATAGGATGGGCTGTTGGGCTGGTTGTCTGTGGACCAAGAAGGTGGCAAAAAGCTTGGACATGATCTAGTGACCTGTACTGGCAAAGACATATGAGGACACATGTCCCACCTCATTTACAGCACTGTTTGCTGACTGGGATGGAAACTAGGTCCTCCTCGCATTTCGACAAGCTGACAAACTAAATAACAACCACATGTATGAGTTACCTGAAGGCTCCACTGTAGTTGTAATAACGTTCTTGGCTACTTGCACTGCATTTATTGTTTCCACTCTCATCCCCAATACACAGTTGACAGAGTTTTGATGGGTAATTGTCCAGCTCAGCTGAAGGCACACAGCTGGCAGAGAAAAACTCACTCACAGCTGGGGAAAGACAAACCAACACAAGAAGTGAAAAGTGTGGACTCTTCACCAAAAAAACCCCGTTATACGATCATGAAGTTATAACCAATGCAGGTTTCAGTAAAGCATAGAAATAGGAGTTACAGTTGCCTTACTGGAATTCACAAACTAGAACTCTTAAGGTATTTTCAAAGCACTATTTAGCTGACTAGGTAATGAAACCAAAGAGCTTCCCAGGAGATAGACAGGAAACAGGCAAGCAAAATTAGAAGCTGGAGTTCTATGGCCACAGATTCCTTTCTTGTTGTTCTACATTGCTTCACTACCTAATGCAGTTTGAAAATAACACAATAAAATTCTGGATAAAGAGATACATCATTTACTGCAATGATATCCCAGAGCTGGAATTACCTCCTAGAGGGGATACATCTGTATTTTCTGTGACTGTTATTGATATCTGATTTGGGTCAATATCCTCAAGCAAAACCCAAGGCAGCCAGGTGTGAAAACAGGGTTTTCAAGACAACAGAATAAGTTGATTGAATATAAAAAGCCATGGACTTTTCAAATGCATTTCTGAAAACTGGAATAAACTTTGGCAGTTTGATTCCCTGCAGCCAGGACTGCTGTTGAGATGGGTCTGGTCATGCTGAAGAAGCAGGCTGACAGGAACCTCAAAGTTCAACAAAGGCAAATGCAGAATCCTGCTTTTAGGACGGGGTAAGACCATGGAAGGCTGGGGAATGGCAGGCTGAACAACAGATCTGTAAAAAAAACCGTGATCTGGGGATCCTGGTGGACAACAGGTTGATCAAGAATCATCAGCATGGTTTTGTGCCAATGAAGGCTCATGGCATTCTGGGGTGTGTTAGTGGAGCAGTCAGGGAGCAATGGTCCTCCTCTGACATCTGTGGCACGTTCTGAGCTCCCAGTGTCACAAAGACATGGACATTCCAGAGCAAATATTGTAGAAGGAAGGTGGGATGCTCAGAGGCTGGAGCACAACTCACACTTACCAGGCTGAGAGGTGGGTTTGGTCAGCCTGGAGATAAGACAACTAACACTGTATTGCTGTCCTCACTCACAGAGCAGGTTTTTCAGGAAGACACAGACAGTTCCTTCTCAGGGATTCAGAGCAAAAGGATGAGAAGTAACAGAACCAAAGTTACAAGAAGGAAATTCTGATTAGACAAAAAAAAAACTCTTTATACCAAGAATGGTCAAATACTGGGACAACATCCAGAGATGATGTGTATAATCTCTCTCCTAGGAGTTACTCAGAACCTCCCTAGACACAGCTCTGAGCAATCTGAACTATCAGACCTGCTTTGAGCAGTTGATTGGATTAGATGACCTCAAAGGTCCTGTCCAACCTGAATTAGCCACTGATTTTTTGATAAAGGAAAGGAATATTTTTTGTTAGATTTAACATTCTCAGTTAGATCCCTCCACTAGTCCGCTCTGGTGGTAAATTTAGAATTTCAAATCATTATATTAAAAACACAATACCCCTTCACAAACAGATATGGTTAATACAGAGTTATGAAATCACAAAATTACCTAATTAAAGTTTATCATTAAACTATTACTGTATCTTTGACATGTAGTACTATTGTCTTACCTTGAGGAATATTACAGTCTCTGGGCTTAATAATCCCCCTCTTAATTAGTATGCCAATGGGAATATTCCATCCAGCATTTCTCCCCAGTCCTGTGTGGCAGGACTTCTTCCCTTTCAGGTCACTGATGGTGAATGCATTGGACAGATTTCGTTTCACTAACACCACAGCATAGTATGCACTGCTGCTGTCATTAGCTTGGAGAAAAAAACACAACACATTATAGCTTTCCTTCAGCATTCCCACTGCTTAGTGATCATCTACAGATCCATCACTCTTATCTGGTTCCAACTTAATTGCACCAACATTCAGCTAATCAGGAAGTATGGATGCACATGGAATGACTCTTCACTTCTAGTACCTCACACTGCTGCATTCACCTATAGCCTGTAAGCTGGCACTGCTGCACCTGAGCTGAATAAACTATAGACAGACAGGAAAGTGTTCTTATTAATGCCAGCTCTTACAAATACATCCCTCTGAAAAACAACATTCGGGTCATTACTCACTTAGCATATCTGCTTTAAGAAGTTATTTTTATGTGAAAACCTCAAACCTGTATTAAAGCATCAATGAGTTTTGCAGAATACTGAAACTTTACCTTAAGTGATGTCATGGACACAAGCCCACTTTTCATTGGTGACTGTGAAGCAGCCACACTGACAGGAAGAATTTACTTTTAACTAGAATCTACTGTGTAATTTCTGTATTTTTGTTTCTGTTAAAAATATTTTGACTTTGTAAATACTATTTTTTTCCACTGTAAATATTTTTTTTTCAGAATTGAAAAGACAAATAAAAGAACTACAAGATTCAAAACTGTCAAAGACTCAACCTGGTCTCTGGAGGACCAGGACAGGTAAAAGTCTCATCTCATACTTATTTCCTCATCTATTCATGATGTGAGAGTAATAATTCTCACTTTTTTGAAAACAGCTTTCCCAGCAGGGCTAGGGACAAAGGGCTGGGCTTTTAGAGCTGTCTTCAAACAACCTGGAAAAATAAGGTCTATATTTATGTTTCCTGACCTTCTTACCAGAGTAACTTTCTCCAGCAGCTGGTACAAGGCCATACATCTTCCCAGCTGTGTAAATATCTGCTCCACCCAGAACTACGGCATCACTTTCCTTTTTCTGAAAAATATAAGAAAATGTAGGATTTCTGTGAAAAAACAGCAGATACTTTCCCTGCTACAATGACGACACCTTGAGCATCACACCTGTTGGACCTCAAAGGGCAAGGCAAAGAGCAAATACACTGCTAAAGAAAACCTCCAAAATGTGCACAAAGCTTCATCAGTGAAACAATTACAGGAGATTTCACACATACAGGCTTGAGTTAAGACAGGTAACAGTGCCCTTATTGCAGCTGAAGACCATCATACCATTCATACCACCTGAGCTACCTCCTTGAAATCCAGTGTTCCTACCGGTCACACAGGTATCTCTAACCCAGCAGGGAGCAGCTTTTATTAATTTGGTTTATTGCACAAGGACTGTAGCAGCCTACCTGGATCAGGTCCATGCACTCTTCCTTTGTCTTGGCTGAAATACACTGAATTTCCGGTTTCAAATTCTTTTTCCTAAAGGCAACGGCCATTTCACCACATTTCCAAATCTCCTCAGTGGATACAACACACCAGTTCAGGCTCTCTGGCAATGCTGCACAAAATTGAAAAGCAAATAATACATTCACTTTCTTTGCAATAGACAATTCACACTGCCCCTTGTCATACATGTCCCACACATATTATGGAAAATGTTTGCTTCTGTGTTGCTCCCCATCCCTCCAGCTCCAATTTCCACCTGATCAGGAACCAGGGCATTCCAGATTAGCAGTTATGTTCACATTGCTAACCTATCCATAGCAAAGGAACAACAACTTCCACAATTGCTGACCATTAAGCACAGCCATAATGTGTTAGCTGAGTGCAGCAAAAAGCCCCCCTGAACACAGGCTTCCTCAGTCACAGAGTAATGTCCACAAGAGACAAGTCTGGGAGGTGAGGGGCTTTGCTGCAGCACAGAGCGTGTCTGGAGGCTCAGTTGCCAGGATTATTAAGCTGCTTAAGGCAGAGATTCTTACGTGTCTTTCTGACTTTCCCTGAAGGCATATCAAGTAATTTCTACTTTCTTCTGATAGTAGGAAAGACCATAACACTTCAGTAAAGAGGAACTTTAGAGGATTTCCTTCAGTTTCTAAAGGAAATCCTCTGCTAGGAACTTATTCATACATTTTTATAGACTACCTGAGGATTTGTGCAGCAGTGCATTGTTATTTCCCCTTGTCAGAAGGTAAGAAATTAAGTACCAAGTAACAGTAGCAGCTTACCAGATTAATGTCTCCATATACCAGAAAGGATAGAAAATGCTTGCATCTTAGAATACAGCATGTCAATTTGCACAGGAAAGTGTTCTGTGTTGGGGTAAGCGGCAAGGTCGCAGAGCCCCTGATGAAGGATGCAGGGGTGAAGGATTTTGACTTAGACACTTTGGGGCCGAATTTCCCTGGGAAAAGCAGGGACTGTGAAGGACTTGAAAAGGTGCTAGACCTGACCAGTGAGAAAGGAATGTAAATAAGAAGTGAACATCCAATCATATGTGAAGGCTAGTAATAAATTATAGAGAACTAAGAATAGTATGGTATGTAAGGTTCTGTACAGTGTGTGTGAGGCAGGTGTGTGAGAACAAGATGTAATATACTGGACGAAGCAATAAAAAGCTGAATGTTGGCCATCATCAGAAAGGTGCCTAGTTTTTAATTCTTGGCCATCCTCAACTTACTACAACAGTTCTGCAATGTGATACTGTTTCTGTCAAAAGGTGACCTTTCTGCAAGCTCAAAGATCAGACTGGCATCTTGCCATGACCCTCCAAGAGTGAGGAGAAAAACCAGAATCAACACTATCTCTGCTATCACCTATCTTTGTTCTTGATTATAAATAGGGTTCTACAGACAACTTACTGTTGGGGTCGCAGCTCAGAGCTTGCATGGCATGAAGATACTCATCACCCAGCCATGTTTGATAATTCTGAGCTGTGATTGCAATGAGCTCTGTGGTGGAGTCTTGGAACAGAAGATTTTGGGCACCGTAGGCTGCAGAGTCAAACATCTGAAACTTGGCGCCCACTCCATTAAATCTTTGCTGTAATGTTAAAGAAGAAAAAAGCACTTGTCAGAAGTCCCTCTGCCTGGGATCTGTGACATCCTATACCCCTTCAAACCCCACAGAGCCGAAGGTGCATAGATATTCTGTCTTCAGTTTACCAAGAGAGGTGGGAGAACCCTTCTAAAATGCAACTCAGTGATGAAAAAATGGTTTCCTACTTGTCCCTGGTTTAGGAGTTGGAAGACAACTGTCCCATCTATGTCCGGCCGCACAGCCACAGCGCGAGCTGGGATTCGGGCCAGGTGGCAGGTTCTCCACTCTGACACATCGGCTCTGCTGCCGTTGCGACACAGGAGCTGGAAGTTCCAAGAGCGAAGCCGCCGGGCCCACAAGAAAGAACTTCTTCCTGAAATCGGAGAGGACATGCTTATGGAACAGTTTGGCTCCAAGCCTTCTCTAAATATCACTTGCACACGTGGAACAGGACACACACCTCCTGAGCATCTCTGAGCTATTCCTGACTGCACAGCACACTCCATGCACATTTGGGGTCCTTTAGTCCTTTATCTCTGATGAGAAAACAGCTTACCACTTGTGAGACTGCACTGAGCTGTACTGGGGTCTGCAGCAGTATCAAGAGCATCCCTAAGTTTAGTATCACAGGCAACATTTTTTTTGTTTTTCTCTCCCCTGGGTCAGACTGGTCCATGATATTAAAGCACTGATATGCTCAAGGTGGTTTTCACATAGTGCCAGATAGGACAGGTCACCTCTTGTTAACTTTCCGCTAGTCTCTTCTGAAATCCCATGGTAGGCTGGAGCAATGTAACAGCCCAGGTCTATATAAAAATAATTTACCGCTGTTGAAATTCTCTTTCCAAAAGCAGCTTAAGATTCCACCTCTAACCTTTAACCTTTATTGAAACTATCAAGTATTAAAAAGGAAAAAAAAAATCCCATGGACTCCTCTGTCTCCTGGTGCATGGAGGTACATGTTCGCACTATCACAGTATTTATTTTCTGATTGCTCAATTCAAAATACATCAAACATTTGATATTATTCTATTACAGACACAGTATTTCAGACCTTGCAGCCATTATTCAACAAGCTTCAGGATTACTCACCGTCTGTATTTTCAGGCACTGTGCTGTGCTTCACAAAAGCAACCTCTCCAGCACCTTCAGCCAAACACCTAATAAATATAAATCCAAGCACAAAAATGCATTACAAAACCCAGCTCCTGTGCACTGGCCACTGCCGACAGCCCGAGGGCTCCGTGCTACGTTCCATCAGACACAGACACTGACCTATTTCCTTGTGCAGAGAGTTTTGCTCAAGGCAGAGACTAGTGGCTGTTAGAGCATGAAGTAAACTATCATTGTCATTTGGTGAACATGGACAACATGTTCAATGTTGCCCAGAACAAACACCATGAGCTTTTTTGTCCAGGACAGTTTCTCTGTCTAAGGCAGTCATTACAGTCCTTTGGGGAATGTGCAGGAAGGAGCAAGTGTTTCTTGTAAGCTAATTCTGCCCTTGCTCAGTTAATGCTACTACTGAGAGACTGGGAGCTCCAACACAGCACACAGACAGAAAAGAGGAAAATAAGGGATTGGTGTGCAAAATGGAGGCAGAGCAAGTAGATAATTGAGTGCCACTGAGATGGGATGACTGAAATAGTCAAGTAGGGCAACAGTTCAGCTCTCAAACTCCAAGGGCAATCAAGTTTTACTGGGAAAGATAAAGTCAGTAAAGTCTGATGAAACAAACACTCTGATTGTGTGAACAGCCGCTCAACAAAACAAACAGCAAATAGGGCTTTCCCTGCCCAGCATACATGCTAAATATCCATTTGGTTTAAATACTCAGGAAATAATGCTTGAAATAGTGGGTTAAGAATTACTTTTGTTGAGTCAGTTTAAAAGCATGGTTGTCCTAACAAAACTGCAGATTTTCTAACAAGATAAACTGGAAGCTATGTGTCTTCAACTTCCAGTCAGTGAGGTCTAGACTGGTACCTACAGAGAGAGCACAGTGATAAAAAAAAATTGACAGAGACATGACTTTTACCTGAAAGCCCCACTGTAGTCATAGTATTGCTCTTGGGAATTTCGTTCACATTTGTGCTCTCCAGCTGAATTCCCTATGCAGACCTCACAGAGGGATTTGGGATAGTTCACATCATTTGCTCCAGGAACACAGCTTGCATTGAAATATTCACTTAGAGCTAAAACCGAAATTAGAATGAGACATTTTTAGCCATGAATAAACAAGATCCTACAATCTCATTTTAACACATCTACACAGTACATCTCTGAATAGATTTAGAAGGCATAAGTAATTTTTTTCTTAAAAGATGATTTTCAAGTTTAAAAAACAAAAACTCTGCAGCCTTCATCAGACCTACATTAGGTCTATTCCCTGGTACAAGCATCATTAAAGTCAAGGAACAAAGGAGCAGCTGAACCACATGTTTCTGAGGGGCCCAAGACCCCTCAGAAAGGAATTGCTGAAGAACAGATCTTTGCCCTGTAACTCTTACCTTTTGGAAGGTCGCATCCCATAGCTGCCAGTTGCCCACTGTCAATCAGATAACCCACTGGCACATCCCAGCCTGCAGTTCTGTTGATCCCTGTGTGACAGGAACGCACACCCTTCAGGCTGTTGATGGTTATGTTGGAGCTCTTCTTTACCACAGCCACAGCATAATAGGAAGTTCCAATCTCTGCAGCGTAAGAAGAAAGAGAAGCAAGATAAGTAGCCTCACATCAGCGTTACAGTGGCCTCTTGGGGCTCCTCTGCCCACTGTTCACATTCTTGTTGAGAACCTGCTGACTGTGAATCAGTGTCCTCCATTAGTTTTTCAGTGTGCATTGTCTTAAAGTCCATTGTCTTAAAGGCAATCTGTTTTAACTTTGAAGGTCACCCTGCTTCTCCTTTCTGGAAGAAGTTTTCTGTGACTCTAAATATATTTTGATTGAATTGAAACCAATATAATTTACTCCCCAGTTGATCTTAATCTTGATACAGCAGAGCAGGCTAACATCCCTGGAGCATCAGAGTTCATTTCATTCTCTTTGTTTTGCAGTTTGATATAACTCAAAGAGTCAAGAGCTGAGGGTCTGAAGTGACTATAGAGTCATTCAATCTGACCTAATCATTAAATTTCATCCACTTTTCTTTGATTTGAGGCTCATAATTTGAGTAATGGAGACAGCCAGCCTCTGCATCATAAGGCCCATTTGGTTTTGAGAAGCCAAAGTACAGATCCCTCACCCAAGTCATGACGTAGATGAGTCAAGACCCCAAGTGCCCAACAGGCAATTTCTGAGGATGCCTTTGATCAGATGACACTGAGACCCAGCTACAAACCAAATCCAGCTCCATCTCACAACAGAGTGGTGGGACACCACTGCCTGCAGACTGCTTCCAGAGTTCCTCCTTCCTTTGGGTCTCTTAAAGTGACAGGCAACATCACTGAGCTCTGAGCTAATACTGAGCCCTTAGTCAAGACAAGTCACTACTGAATTATTGCCTCTGCCTTGAAAGGAACTCAAAGCTTAAGGTCACCTAGACACGGAGCAGAATCAGCACTTCCTTTCCTCCAGCAGGTAATCATACACACTACTAAAACCAAAATCTAATTATTCTAATGTACGGGTTTGAGAGATAAACCTTAACAATTTATGCTTTGCAATTCAGTAATCTGAAAAGTATGGAACAGAGAAGACAGTAAGCAGCAAGACAGTAAAAAATAAACAAAACCCAACCCAAAAAACCTATTACAGGAACAGCTACTCTGACCCAACTGCTTCAGGACAGACTTGGCCCCAGCTCAGCATCTCCTCCTTCCCCACACACTCTGTTACGGGCAGGAGCAAACAAGGAGAGGAACCTGACCCCTACCTACTGTTTAGAGTCTTACAGGGAAGGACCCCAAATAGTAAATTCTTGTGCATTTTAAGTAATCTAAAAGTTATTTAGTCAGAATATACCTTGGTCATATACTTCCCCAACCACAGGTTTCAGACCATGCTCCCTTCCAGCCTGGTAAATCAAACGGCCATCCAGTGTCACTGCATCTGCCAAATCATCCTGTGCAGACACAAGGGCAGAAAAATGTTGAAACTTAATTATCAGTATTTACCAACAGCTAGAACACACATGAATTTAGAAGAAGAGGTCCCTTAATCTGCATTTGTGTGTTTTCTTCTCTCCGAACAGTTATTTTAACGGCAGTCAAATTTCTGAAAAAGAATTACCATGGGGGATTTTAGACCTTCAAAAGTGCCTTCCTTCAGAAATAATGCAGAATCCAGCTCTGTACTATGATGGCTTCACTAGTCTTAATAGTGCAAAGGAAGCTTAGAAACAGGTCCTGCAGATCTGTGATGAATCTTTAAGCCCAGCAATTTGGAGTTTCATTCATATCTTTAACTAATGCCCCAAAGCTTGAAGATTTAAATAAAGTAAAAATAGTTTTGACATCATACACATATAGTTTAAAGTAATATCTTCTGGGGCTGCAAAATCTGAATGCCAAAGTGTACTCAAAAACAACCTTAAAGCATACTGGTTTGTACCTCTCCACATGCAGAGGAGGAAGTGGATGACAGTGCACATCTGAGAAGGAGGAAAGCATCTAAAAAGACTGTTCAAAACTGGGGGGATACAAATCTGAGGCCGCCACTGCTGGGAAGGTGTCCAACAACACTGTATATTCTTTGTTGACCGTACCACCAAGCTAGCTGGAATCCTGCTGCAGGATTGCTCTGGATAGCACAGGATGAGACTTCCCTCAGCAGCAAGGTTGAGAGAACTGCTGTATGCACACCTCTGGCCAGCTGAACCCAGCCCCTACTGTGTACTGAAACTAGTGGGAGCCAGGAGAGGGCATTTCACACAGAGACAAGATATTGCTGAGGAAATAATCAGCAGTGTGACATTTTGCATTTCTAAGCTGATTCCAAGTTTCTTATCAGTTTGCTTAACCTCTGGTTTGACAGTGGAGAGGGTAATTTAGCTCACCCATCCCTTGGGATGTTGCAAAGCACTAGTTAAAAGAGGGCTGGGACTGTGCTGCCCAGCACACCACAACAACTTCCCACAGGCTGAGACACATAAAAGGTTTGAAAATTTTTTAAGGGATCATGTGAGAGCACAGGTAATATGTTGATGTTGACAGCTGAACCAGATTTGAAGTTGTCATGTGATTTGAAATCCTTTATTTCTTTGGCTCAAAGGAGAAAAAAGATTATACTCATTAATTAGCCAAAACAATCAATGTCCCAAGAGCTGCTTCTTGTGAAAGGAGTGCAGAATGAATCCAAGGAAACCTGAAGAGGAGTTGGGGTTGGGAGATATTTGCATCTTAAAGAACAGACATTATCTTTCTGGAATAACCAGACATGATATTGCTCTGGTGAAGGTCAGGCCACAAGACAGTTTAGGAATCAAATATGGTCTGTTGTTCAGGGACACCTGACAATGAGAAGGAGAGGAGGTGGGAGTTAAAAGGATCTTACCCTCAGGGAAAACAAAGTGAGCCTCTAGAATTGGTGGTTGACAGAAAATAGAGCAGATGAAATGAAAAGGGTTGGCCACAGAAGCCAAGGACTGTGTTATGTGGCCATATTTCCATGTCAAATAGCACTTTTCTGATTGGAAAGCTGAGCCTTTGAGCTCTGTTTAGCAGCAGAGCCTCTGATCAATAGCTTGTGTATAAACAGCAGAACAGAACAAGATAAAAAATGCCTCTTATTGTATTTAACATGAATTAGTTTACAAGCTACAGACCTTTCCTTTAAATACACACAATTACTGTGGGGACTATTCCACATACAACATTTTTAATAAGTATAGGTGTGATAGTAATACTTTATTAATTACTTTCAGAGGAATTGTATTGCTGTGTGTCACAACATTTGAGAATTACCTACACAAGTGTTTAAAACCCTGTTAAAGAACAGCTCTGGTCACACTAAATATTGTCAGGTTTCCTAGTTAAATATTTAGACATTACTCAATTTTTAAACACTTCTATCAAAGAGGGTTTTTCCTTTATCCATGTGCTAACACATTCACAGGACTAAGTCCAAGTTACACAATGATACAAAACATATCTCTGCCTCTTCAGCCATGATGTCCCACTCCTTTTGGCCTCAAAGATCAGAGTTCAGTGCGGATGCAGACACAGGGATTCCACACAGTCCTAAGCAGGCCAGCTTAAATATTTAGTAGATTACTATTAGCACAAGAAAAAAGAAAAAAGAGGTCTCAAGGAGAAAGTCTTGCCAGAAGCCTTACAGTGAACATTCATTTTATCAGAAAGCTACTTACTCATGCTATCTGCCTTCAGGTTTCTCTGTTCAGCTAAACAAGTTTTATAGGAATCCAAGGTTTTAGAAAGGCACTTACAATGGCTTACAAATGCAATTCTGGGAGCTCTGTGTTTCAAAAGCAGACACTTACCAGCCCTTTCAATAATCTGATTTGCAGATTCTAACAGGTGCCCCTGTGCAATGTAGCAATCAGCCAAGTGCTTTTGGGAAGCTCTGACATTAGAATGTATTTCTTGTCTAATCCCAAGGTAAGATCCACATATACATCAATATCTGCTCCTAACATTCTTCAGTACAGTCTTCCTCACTCAAGAACAGAACTTATCAAGAGGCAATGAGGTAGTTTCAGTAATCAGAGAGCCATTCTGCTTCTGTTGACATAAGTTACAAGATACCAACTTCTGAAATCTTTTTCTTTTATCTGGCCACAATCATCTGCCTCATCTCCCTTCGAACTACTTTGCCAGACCTCCTTTCCTTGCTCTGAACCTCTTGTCTTGACAGCCTTCATTTCCTCCACAAAACCCTGATTCTTGAGCATGTCTACACAGTAATATTACTTATTAACACAGCCAGTCATCCTTCCCTTTCCCCACACTCTGCCAGTGAAGGTAGCCACTATTACCTGCCTCCACATTTCTTCCAATATTCACTTTTTGCCTTCTACCACCTCCTAAAGAGGGAATTATTTTGCAGACGGCATTTTGCAAATCCACATGTTCAGTCTTTCAAACCTTCCCTAGAGCAATGTTCCTCTTGGAAATGAGCACACTCTGGGCAGTTGAATTAATACAGTTGGGTTTGTGTGCCCTTTGCTCAACCCCACTTCCTGCTTTGTCTCTCTTGTACTCTGGTGTTGGGAGATTTGATTTGGTTTTACACTCATCTCTATATACAGCAATTTCCATGACTGGACCCTGAAATAGAAGTTTGATCCAGAGTTTATCAAAATACAATCTACTTATAAGCTCAGAACCATAGCTTTAACTACTGTCTGCATTTTACAGCTCCATCCCTTCTTATCTGCTAAATAAATCTGACAATTCCCAGATCAAAGATTTGCATTTGGGAGGAAATATTTAAGATCTCTGCTGGGTTCCTAATGACTGGCCGTATGTGAGCAGCCAAACAGATGACATGGGGCCATTCTGACATTCAGGTTCATATGAATGAACAGTATTAAGATTTTCTAAAAAGTATATGCTTGGATTTTTCATAGACATGAATGCCATGAAGCCTATGGTTGACTGCCTGGATGGTCAGACACTCACCAGAGAGCCATGTACATCGCCAATGGATTATTACTAGGTACATGGGTCAATTAAATCAGTGACCCCGCTGTTCCCCACAGCTCACCTTGATTATCTGGGTGCAGTTGGCAGCTGACCCCCCTGCTGTGCACTGCAGAGGGGGAAGGATTCCAGCCTCACCAAAGGCCTTACTCATGTCATTACACTTGGAAAGTTCTTGCTCAGAGACAGTGCACCACCGGAGACGTTCCAGACTGAGAGCTGCAAACACAACACCAAGAGAAAATATTATGAAACACATCAGCACCTTCAAAACAGAGCTTACCATTTAAAGGCTCCCAAAGAGCCAGCCTTTCATTCTGCTTCTCCTCCCTAAACAGAAAAAAGTCAGGGTTCTTTTAGCAGTGGGTCTTTAGAGGTTATTCCCACTTTCATTTCGATTAATATGAATACTGAAGTTTTTTTTGACTGAATAAAAGACAGGCTCAGATTCTGATACTGAAACCCAATGGCATTTGTTTCTGACATAAGAAATAGGGATACCATGGAATTGGTCAGGGCGTCTAGACGGTTCTTAAAACCTTGAAGAACACATCATCTTTTCTCATGTCAAAAGCATTTAAAATGATACACTGCAAAACCAAAGAGACTGCTAAAGATAACTCTGTCTCAACTATTACTGGTTAGTACCTGGAGTCCTGCCCCAGCCCTTTTTGGTCTGAATTAGGAAAGCACTTGGGTGCTCAAGAGTCTTGCCACTAGGCTTATTAGGAAAACTAAAGAAGTAAACTTGGCTCTTCAAAACACTCTTTCATAAGAGACTGTAACCACAGCCATGAAAAGGGTAGGGTAGTGCCATGAATGAAAAGATTCAAGTTTAGTAGTGGAGATTTCCATTAATCAGTGAAGAAAGGTGCCTTTCAGCAGGCCCAAACACCACCCTCCTACGTGCCAAAGCTACAAACACTTGGCTGCTTTAGTAAGGAGATGTCACCAAGATCAGCAGTGTGGCTGCAAACGCAAGGATGGGATACGCTGACAAACAGGCGCAGATCGTTTTCATAAGTGGGGGCACAACATTCCACTGCTTTTCTACAATATCAATTTTTAAGCTGGAGTCTGCTGCAAGCTATTTGTCACATGGTTTTCTAAGACTCCTAACTGACCTTCTGCTTCCCACCAGTGTCATGCAGCTGAGATGCCACATTCAGCTTTGAAAGTTAAAAGTTACTTTGCTAGTGCTCAATGGTGCTCCCATGCACGTTCTCTGACTTGGTGGCTGCAGACTAAACAAGATTGTTGATGCCAAAAAACCCAACACTGAAACAGCAATTTTGGCTTGTTGTTCCACTGCAACACGGAGCCAACTCTACTGCTGTCAACAAACATTAGGTCAGACTTGGAAAAATTAATAGGAAGTTTTCATGGCAGTATGTGCTAGCAGAGGTAGAAACAATTATAACCCTCTGAGCTGCAGGAATTCTGAGAACCTAGATGACCAGAAGAAAGGCACAAGAGAGTCATCATAAAAACACACCTCACAGAAACTTAACCTGTACCTCATCTGCTTGGGTGAAATTTTCACCATTAATTCCTTGGGGCTGAAAGAAGAACCCTGGTTTTCATTGATAAAGGAGTTTGGGTTTTCTTTGCATAAATACAAGCCAACAGAAATTAAACTGGAGCGTCAGCATCTCAGTATGTAAATCTGCCAAGTGCCATTCTTCAGCCTCAACATTCTGATTTTAGATATACACACACACGAGGTGAAGCATGAATTGTATGAAGAAATCATCAGCCATATACACCCAGAACGTGAAATAAAGCTCATTTGGCTCCATGTTTCAGACAAAATAGTGAAACAGCATTAATCTGTTTTTTCCCCACTCATCAAAAACAGGTAATTATTTGTCCCTTTCCAAACTGATGAACTTAGTTATTACAAGAAAGCCAGATCTGGGCAATGTCCTGGCTACCTCCTTACAAGTTAACCCAGCTGAAGTGGGCTTGAGCATAGACAAGGCCTGCAGTTAGTCTCTCTTCCCATCTTAAAACAGCAGGTCAGTCTCTGAACCCAAGTTTATTCACAATTTTGCCTCTCTGAAGTTAAAAGCATTCACCATTAGAATTTGGGAGTTACAGGAGAAAGCCAACTTGTTGCACAGAGCGTAAGTGAAATAAAGCAATTATTCCTATTTTTACGAAGTAAGTGTCATAGAACTGCTTACTGTTGTGAGAAACAGACACTACTGCACCAGAAGAAGTAGATTCAGTGCTTAGGAAATAAAATACAACATTTGATATCAATGAGTCAATAGTGTTCAATATAGTCTTTTCTACTCCTTTTCTATTATTCTATTTATTTTCCTGGTCATATGAGATTGGTTCTGAAGTGGTTCTAGTTTCCTTCTGCTCTCTCATATCACACAGAGGTGAACCCCAGAAACACCATGCCACAGCCAAAGGTTTTGGAGGACACTTACCAGCATGAAAGAAAAGATAGAAGACATTTCCAGAGCTCTTCATGGTGAAAATTTTGGGATCTGTGATTTTTCCAGCCTTCAGAACCACAAGAGATCAAGGCAAGTGTGTTCTCTCCAGCCTGTCTTTCACCTGTCTTAGGTGAAAATCAGCAGCATTCAATTGCAGATGCACTTTGTTCAACAATTTATCTTGCTTACCTTGGCACACGTCACCTCGTAATGACTACTGGAAAAGAAAGCATGCTCTCCTCACACTGCCTCTACACTTGGAAAAAAAAATCAGACCTGCAAATTGCAAAATACGAAAGGCACCAATGAGGTTGTTGCTGCTTTGGCACCACCCACAGACTTCAATAAATGGCCATGTTCCTGCACACAGGGGTGAGGCAGGTCTGTGGAACCAAATCCTCACTTTGAGTTTTGTGTACTTCCTACTCATGGGGCTCAGGAAGCAGGAAGAGATTCAAGGTAAGCTGACAGAGAGCTCAGTCACTTTATGCCACATTCTCAGCACTGTCAGAAATTTCATAAAGTCATAACCAGAAACCCAGGCTGTCACAACAGCAAAGCCCATACACTCTACAGGTGGTACAGCACATGCTAAGTGCACATTTCCTGAAATTTAATAATAAATGCTATAAAGTAGCTGAAGTATTCTGATTTTTAAAAAGGTTTTAGATGAGGCCCAGCAAAAATAAAAACTTTGCTGACAATAGCTCTGTTAAAAGCTGCTCTGTGAATTTTAGCGTAGCTTTCACAGAGCAACACTCATTTGTGCTGCCGTTTTCTTCATGTCTCATTAGTCAATGAACTGCAGCTGCCTGTAACACTTGGTTTAGATAAAAGCCATTGAGTGCTGCTTTGCTCTGCTGACTGCCACTGCTCAGCTCAGCACTCAGCAACAGAATGGCTGTGTCCTGCCATGACTCCTCACACACACCGAGAGCTGTGTGCATCCCACACACAGCCTGTACAGCCAGAAGTGTGGCATGGATGCTTCCAGCAGTTACTCACTCAGCTACTGACTGCAGTTTGGCCAGGATGCTTTAACACTTACTAGCAACTGTTAAGACAACAGCTGAGTCAATTAATTGCTATTTCAAGTTAAGAACTCTAAAAAAATCATAATGATCCCTCCAGATATCCTTCCCAAACAAAACCTTATGGTTGCCTCTGGAATTAATCGTCCCTGTGCTGTCTGAAATGCTAAACTGGAGTCCTTCCAAATTTCTTGAAGGATCCATTATTTGGATCCTTCCTGTGCCCTTCCCACAGATTAACATCTGAAGCCCTCTCTGATGCGTGCAGTGAGGCTTACATTTGTACACAGATGACAAAACTGATGCACAGTCAGTTTAAGTTGCTTAAGACTGCCAGGGCAAGATTAATAGACATGAATTTGGTAGCAGGCCTCTCCTGTGCTGCTTCTGATCCTCTACAGGAAAGGTTCAGAAAGCAGGTGGCCTATTCTGATTGTAGCCCCCTCCAACAATCACAGTTCATGAAATTCTGGATAATTTTCCTATTTTATTCTTAACTTTATGAATATCCATGCTTTAAGGAGATACTAAATTTCTTCAACTAATTTTCAGCACAATTTAGAAAAAAATTTCCACAAGGAAATAATTAGTATAATATAAATTAAAATATTAATAGAGACTAACAGATACTTTATCAAGCATGTGTCTGTGTAGCAATTACAACCAGCTGGGTTAGCAGGCAGGAAGAAAACCCATGGTGCCTTCACTGGGCCAGGAAAATGGTGGTAATGCATAAGTAAGATGCCATTTGGATTTCCCAATTATTCTAGTTGTGGAAGGCTTAAGAGAAGTGTAGGTATTCTAAAATGTATCTTTAAAATGCAGAAAGTGTACCTAAAATCACAGATGTATCAACACCTGACACTGGAAAAATGAGACAAAACCACTAAATAATGCAAACTCCTAACAGTTACAAGATAAAACAAGACAACTTGGAGCATCAGGGCTGTCAGAGTCAACTTTCTGACAGGGCTCAAGGACAAGATCTGAAACAAACAAAACCGAAAACGCAAAGAAAACACGCCAGTCATTTAGAGTTTCTTGACAAAGACTTGTTTTCATTTCAGCATGACAACTGTGCAAAGAAATTACTGTGGACTTCAGTCTGAGTGGAGTACCTGGCCACTGTATGACAAGTGCCTGGGAGTGAAGTTCTGTGAAAGTTACTCAAGACACTCCAATATGTGAAAGAGCAATTCCTCACAGATCTACCCAGCTGAACAGGACTCCTTCTGAGCAGTTAAAAAAAGAGGTAAAAACAAGCATACACAAAATAGAGATGTAAGATGCATTTGCAGATTTGATACCAGAGATTTATATATTTCTATTTTTTTTTAGAGTAGGTCTTTTCAGATGTCTCACTAGACACCTCAAATAGTCTCTTTCAAAGAGGGAGACTACAGTACATAGAATCATAGAATCATAGAATAGATTGGGTTGGAAAAGACCTCCAAGATCATCAAGTCTAACCCGTGATCCAACTCCAATTACTATAGCATGGCACTAAGGGCCACATCCAATCTCTTTTTAAAAACCTCCAGGGATGGTGAATCCACCACCTCTCTGGGTAGGCTGTTCCAATGCCTGATTACCCTCTCCGTAAAGAATTTCTTCCTAACATCTAACCTAAACCTCCCCTGGCAGAGCTTGAGCCCATGTCCCCTTGTCCTATTGTTGGTTGCCTGGGAGAAGAGACCAACCCCCACCTGGCTACAACCTCCCTTCAGGTAGTTGAAGAGAGTGATGAGGTCACCTCTAAGCCTTCTCTTCTCCAAACTAAACAACCCCAGCTCCCTCAGCCTCTCCTCACAGGACTTGTGCTCGAGTCCCTTCACTGGCCTGGTTGCTCTTCTCTGGACCTGCTCCAGCACCTCAATATCCTTCCTGAACTGAGGGGCCCAGAGCTGAACACAATACTCAAGGTGTGGCCTCACCAACGCAGAGTACAGGGGAAGGATCACTTCCCTGCTCCTGCTGGCCACACTGTTCTTGATGCAGGCCAGGATGCCATTGGCCCTCTTGGCCACCTGGGCACACTGCTGGCTCATGTTCAGCCTCCTGTCGATCAGCACCCCCAGGTCCCTTTCTGCCTGGCTGCTCTCCAGCCACTCTGTCTCCAGCCTGTAGTGCTGCAGGGGGTTGTTGTGGCCAAAGTGCAGGACCCGGCACTTGGCCTGGTTGAACTTCATCCCATTGGAGTCAGCCCATCTCTCCAGTCTATCCAGATCCCTCTGCAGAGCCCTCCTGCCTTCCGGCAGGTCGACACTCCCTCCCAACTTGGTGTCATCTGCAAATTTGCTGATGATGGACTCAATCCCCTCATCTAAATCATCCATAAAGATGTTAAAACAGGACTGGGCCCAGCACCGATCCCTGGGGGACACCACTGGTGACTGGCTGCCAGCTGGATGCAGCCCCGTTCACCAGCACTCTCTGGGCCCGGCCCTCCAGCCAGTTCCTGACCCAGCACAGAGTGCTCCTGTCCAAGCCATGGGCTGCCAGCTTTTCCAGGAGTATATTATGGGAGACAGTGTCAAAGGCTTTGCTGAAGTCCAGATAGACACACCCACAGCCTTTCCCTCATCCACCAGGTGGGTCACCTGATCGTAAAAGGAGATCAGGTTGGTCAAACAG